GTTATAAAACGGTATATGTAGGCACCGGATTAGTATGGGTACAGCTGGTTGGAGGATATACCGCCATCCCCCTGGTACTGGTCCAACTGATAGTAGGTAATGGGGAGGTGGCTAGGGGGTTGTGATGGAGCCAGTCTGTAGATGTTATCTCAACAACCACTTCTCCCAACCACAAACATTGGCCCAATTTATCTCCCTGTTGTGGTTTACTTACAGAGCCATCAGGAGTCCTGCTCTAACCATCCCTGGACACACTGTCTCTCCCACTGCCCACACACTGAACCAATTTTGACCTGTCAGTTGCCATTGGGTTTGGGCAAAAACAGGGCAGGGTGCAGGCATAGATTTGTGTCTGCACATTCTGACAGCGGCATTCCAAAGAGGATTTTTTTTGTATACCTGTTTAGCCATTCCATGTGATGCATTTGGGAACAAAACAAAAAGGCTTTAGGTTGCATGCAAAGTGCTGTACTCTCTTTCTTTGCTGCAGTTTCGCTGGACACTGTGCCTGTTGCTGACCTGGTATCTCAGTAGGGTAGTTTATAAGATATATGTAGCTTGTCTCTTATCTGTTATCTTAGGAATGCTCCCCCTGCATAACTGAAATGTTTGGCCATGTTTTTGGGCCCACAAGGAGGTCCCTTACATCTTGTAATAATTTATGAGTAGTTACCTATGGTCACAATGGTGTGTTTTTGGTGCAGGTTGTACCAAAACTGTCTGGAGGTAGCTTCAGTGTTTCACTGCCAAGTTCACGGCTTGCTATGATCGTGCAGGGATCGAAATTCATTTTTGGGAATAGGTGCACCGGTGCACCCAGCCTAAAAAATTGGATGCACAAAAAAATTTTGGGGTGCACCATATAAAATAGAATATTAACTAAAAGTAGAATGTCAGCAATAGCATTTCTAAATAAAAGTACTACAACAATGGTTTTATTATTTTTCTGACTGTTAATAATATGCTGTATACTACTATACATTTAACATCTTTACATACATAAACCTAAGAAAATATTTGGGTGCACTGGCGCACCCACAGAAAAAATTGGGTGCACAGCTCCAAATTTGGGTGCACTAAGGTGCACATGCACCCAGTATTTCGAGCCCTGTTGTGGTAGCTAACTAAACTATAGCTGTGAAGAAAGTTTGGAAAGTTCACAATACAAAAGTGACTGTGAATATAAAACTAAAAGTACTGAGAAAAAATTGTGATTTACAGTACTTTGTTCATCCCAATTCTAGCCTGGAATCTAGCCTTGTCCACTCCCCAATATATGTTTTCCCAATTCACCCTGGCTGGCTGGGCCTGTAAGCAGCACCCCTACGAAGCATGTCATTGCTTACTCCTGGCATAACCTCATGTAATGAGCTTCATGTATGACAGTCACACTGATGAGTCTCTATTGTCATCACAACATCCTGCTCCACTATTCTCCAGTGGCTTGTGTCTGGTGCCAGACTATTCCCCTAGGCCCAGATC